AGTTAGTATATATTATCCCAATATGTGTTATTTTTCAGTTATAAGAAGTGATTTAGATTTTTGCTATGAACTATTTTAATCTCCTGGGTCAATAAACCTTGATAGTAACTTCAGCCAAAAATATCAGCATGTTGTTTGTCATAATATGACAGGAAACAGCTGGGACCTTATTTTCATCTTATTGTGATGCAATTACTAATGAGCGCAGTTGAAAGTAACATATTTTCAGAAAGTTGCCTTAGCAAACAAACAAATTGCAGTTGTATCCCAAAGATCAGTTGTCACTGCAAGAAAGTGTGTGCGTCCTCTCTCTGAAAACGAGCAGAAATCAGCCCCAAGCAGTGCTTCAGCCTGCCGGGGGTTATTCCTCGTTTTCTCTCTCTTTTTCCTGCCAACGCAGTACTATGTACCTGTATTCTCAAGCACAGTACGTATTTCTTCCTGACTTTCCAAGAAGTACCTTCATGAAAAGGGGGCAATCTTCTTGCTGGTTTTCAGAGTTAATAGCAAATGTAACAACGTTGTGAAAGCAGGTATTTAGAGGACACTTGCAGATTGAACCAGTAAAAACAGTGACCTGGTTGAAAGAAGACAGTTGCGCAATTAGAACGTAATTATTGCACTCACTGAACTGTATTGCAGTTTTTGGTGCCTGTATTTAGAATGAGACTTAGTTGACTTTCCTCTGGGAAAAATTATAATGAGGGGCTCCCATCCACGCTTCCTTGCTGTTTGGCTGGCACTGGAGGAAGCCCAAACGCTCTGCAGTCGTGGTGCGATTGCAGCGCGTTGGTTATGCTGGAGGTCAGGCTTGCATCCTCACGTCTGCGGTGCCCGTCTGTAGCAAGCTTGGGAGCGAGCCCAACCCCCGTGCCAGGCTTTCCTTGAGTCTCTCCAACATGTTGGCAAGGCAGTGGCAAGTCTTAGACTCGTCTAAGTGTAGCCTTGAACCTTGAGCTAACATGGCACAGAGGTAATTTTGAGTAATTTAAAGTGATATTTTTCTGTCTCTCTGGGGGCTTGTGCAGAACCAACCACAGAACTATGCGTCACTGGTGGTTCACTGCTGACGGGATCAGGTCCGTGAACTAAGAATATCTGCCATGTAAGTGAGTCTCTGTCTTGACCTTAAATGCAGTTATGGACTGGGGAGAAACCTGAGTGTTCGGAAACTTCCACAACCCGGTGGGATGTGGCAGCCCTTCAGTCGCGCGTTAGTGGAGACGGCCCCGAGGGGCAGCCGAGTCCCTGCCCGCTGCCCGCGTTGTCGCCCGCCCACCCCTTTGCAGCCTTCGCACGCGTGGGTGAATTTCTCTGCTGCTTTGTTATCTCTCGCTAGGAGATCAGATAGGTGTTCATAATCATCTAGACCCTCTTATTTGCAAAACACATCTTTATTTTTCAAAACTGAGAAAATAAAAGCATTTTGCTGTTCTAGCTGCCTATTTCTGCCCCTGTCTCGCCAAGAACAAACGTAACACGTGTTGAATTAACTGAAATATATGTTTCTGCTGCATCAAGGTCCCCACCCAAATAAGCTGTTGGCTTAAAAAATATTTATGCTGGCAAAGTACCTACGCATAACTTTGTAAGCCTTTACACAAATAGTAGCATAAATTTATCAGAGTAACTTTAAAAAACATAAATTTTGATCACTGACATATATATAGGCAGAGCTCAAACAAGGTTTCCTGTCTCACCCATTTTTTCCTATCACATCTTTATATGTGCATAGTGGCATCACTGACTTGCAGCTCACAAGGAAAGCCTCTAATTGCCTATTTGCAGAGAGATTTGGAGATTTCTTCTGCGTGTTGGAATAACTCATAGACAGAATTTTCCTAAAGTTTCATCAGTTTGTTCTATTCCTTTTGTGTTGATAATTGTATCATGCATAATGCATATTTTAGCGTGGCCTGCTCTTTGCAAAAGATGGTAATTGGCACATCTTTCGGGGAACTTTGTGTTTAGTTGCCACGTGTTGCCATGTGTTTATTTGCACGTGCACTCCTCGCAAGCTGGAAGCTGGAAGCTACAACTCATGGCTTCTTCAAATGTAAGCCTGAGTTTTCGATTTGTGGTCACAATGGTAGATTTAAGCAATTTTGTAACTTGAAATAGCGCTAGCACAAAATGGTGTTGGTGTGTAAATGCATTAGAAAGAACATGCAATTTGGAGGTTTAAAGTTATTTTATAAGTTAATCTGATATTGAGTCCCTTCTGTCTTTTGTTTACGTATTCAGCTACTAATCCAGAAAAATACCTAAGTGCTTGCTTAGTTTGAATTACATTATTCCAGTATGATTAGATAAGTCCAATAGGAATAGTTGAGTACAGACCTGAGGCCCTGATTCAGTAAAGTGATAAAGTGTGCAAGTGGTCCTATGAGATTCAGTGGACAAAGCTGAATGAGAATCTCAGTACTTTTTCTGAGTCAAGATTAAGCAAATAAATATGGTCACACTGGGGAGATATGAACCACAAATCTACTTCCAGTTGTACCTTGATATAACACCACTTTCTAACAGTCCTGTTTACTCAACATCTGTTTAATAAGATTACGGACTAAAAAGTCCTTTAGAAGTAATCACTTTTGTGTGAACGTCTGACCTTGTAACATGCCTAAAATACCGGAACCTATTTGTTGAAAGTCCCATAGCTCTACGATAAAACAAGCTAACATGCCGTCTACTTTTTACTTGCAAATTACAAATACATGATGCTGCACTTGATATTTCAGTCTGGAATGCAGTAATGTTCAAACATTTTGTTTAGTCTGTCCA